GAAGTATCACTTCTTTCTCAAGTGGAGTGTTTACACCTTGATGTAACATTTGAACTTTCACAAGAGATGTAATAATTTTGATAATAAAATTCTTAACCATAATAATCATAAAGTTGAGAACTTCTTTGTCCAGTTCTGTGACCTTGCCTTGCCATATTTTCCTGTTTCCTTACCTGAAGAGGGCAAGGTGTACCCACGTTCAGAAGGATGTGCTCTTGGTGGAGTTGTGCCCATAGTGAGGCCAGGAATGTGGATTGGTCTTCTTTCTGCCTTTTATTATGATCACGGGCAGGTCCGTCTGCAGCAGTGGAACTGAGCATTGCAAACTGACCTTGGCCTTAACCTTATTCATTCAGTGGCGATTTATTGGCCTCATTCTTTTCTATTAAATGATTTCAGGCATTGTTTTTGGTGGTGGGTTTATGTGATTTAAATGGGCATTGAAGAAGGCAGATTAAAAATCTCTGCTTTCAAGGTGCTTACACTGTAGAGCAGGGTGAGAACTAAACCAATCCATAATTTCAAGTAGTCATTAACATGTTATTGTTTCACAGCTGTCACATAACTAGGGAGGTTGAGGGTTCACTCTAAATTGGTAGGTCAGAGAAGTTTCTAAGAAGGTGCCATTTAAGCTGAGACCTCAGTGGTAAGGAAGCAGTCAGGGGATAAGAATAAAGATCTTTCCTGGAGCGTTAAACAGCAGGTACAAAGCTGCTGAGCAAGAATGCTGTGGTTAGGATATAGTGAATGACCAGGGCAGGGAAGAGGGGTGGTAGATACCCAGAAAGATAGGCGTTGGGTCGTATGGTACAGTGGTTAGCAAACTGGCCTTTCTCTGAAGGGCCACATAATATAGTTAGGCTTTACAAGCCATGTGGTCGCTGTCACAACTATTCAGCTCTGCCATTGCAGCACAGAAACAGCCATAGGCAGTACATGGCTCCAATAAGACTATATTTACAGAAATATGTGGCTAGTCAGATTTTCTGAGACCTGAGGTACAGCCTGTGGGTTTAGTTTAAAGAATCTGATTCTAAGTACAATGGGCAAGTCATTGCAGAATATTAAGCAGAGAGATGACATAGTCTAATTTATGTTTTATTGGTTGATTAGTTTTTTTAAATTACTCTAATTGTTTCGATCCAATTGGGAGAGAGATGAATAGATGCCGGGAAACCAGTTTGGAAGCTATAGCAATTATTTAGGCAAGCAACAATAATAGTGATGGATTCTATTAAGATAGTAATAACAGCCGTAACCAGTTTGACTCAGTGGATAGAGCGTCAGCCTGCGGACTGAAGGGTCCCAGGTTCGATTCCGTCAAGGGCATGTACCTTGATTGCGGGCACATCCCCAGTAGGGGGTGTGCAGGAGGCAGCTGATCGATGTTTCTCATCCCTCTTTTTTTTTTAAATATATTTTATTGATTTTTTACAGAGAAGAAGGGACAGGGATAGAGAGTTAGAAACATCGATGAGAGAGAAACATTGACCAGCTGCCTCCTGCACACCCACTACTGGGGATGTGCCCACAACCAAGGTACATGCCCTTGACCGGAATCGAACCTGGGACCGTTCAGTCCGCAGGCCAATGCTCTATCCACTGAGCCAAACCAGTTAGGGCTCTCAACCCTCTGTCTAACTCTCTATCCCTCTTCCTTCCTCACTGTAAAAAAATCAATAAAATATTTTTTTTTTAAAGATAGTAATAACAGGGATAAGGAGAAGTACTTGGAATCAGGGCATGTTTTGCAAGTAAACAGCAGTGCTTGCTGATGGATTGCTGTAAAAGTATTATACTGTTTGACAAATATTTACTGAAACCTATGATACACTACCACTTTGCTAAGCATATAAGGGATTCAAAAATAGAGAAAATGCTATTCATTTCTTTAACCCCTTCCCCGGCAGAAACGTGTATACACGTTTTCACAAAATGTTCTTTTTTCAGTCGTCGACGAGTATACTCGTCTAAAAACTTTACCTTCAAAAACCAGCTACATACGTACCATTCTAAATAATTTCATCTAGAAACTTTCTGAGGAAATACTATTCTTAACCACAAAAATGGGAAGAAAAAATAATTACAAACTGTTTTCATAACCAGCATCAAAAATACTATATAGAACCAAAATAAAAAAATTAGTCTGAAAAAGAAACGTTTTTAACAAAAAAATTATTGGGGAAGGGGTTAAAGAACTTAGGAGGTAACCAGTTGGAGACAGAATAAAAATTACCTTTTTTGAAGGCCTTTCCAAAATGCCTGTAGGAATACTTAGTAATCTTATAACAGCCACAACTGAATTCTGGCCGGGGTGAAAAAAATAGGTTATGGTCTTCTTTAAGAAGTTTCCATATATAGTGCCTTTTTGATATATATATTAAATATATATATTTTATTGATTTCACAGAGGAAGGGAGGAGAGAGACAGAAACATCAATGATGAGAGAGAATCATGGATCTGCTGCCTCCTGCACGCCCCCTACTGG